GGTAAAAACACAAGACACCCAGTGAAATTTGAACTTTGGATCAACAACGAATAATATTTTTAGTAGAAGTATGTCCCAAATAGTGCAAATATTAATGGTTTGCCTGAAATTCAGATTTAACTGGGGGTCCTGTATTTTTATTTGCTAAATCTGACAACCCTACCTACACTGTTCAGTCTATGCTCGTAAGACACATTATGATTTTTGTTGAGGAAAAGGCATAAATTAAGGCCACTAATAATAGAAGCAGAGAAGCATACAAGAAATAGAAAGATTCTTTTCTTTTAAGATTATTTTCTATTGCATGATTCATTAAATATTTACTGAGTGCCAACTAAGTATCAGGCATTCTCCTAGGGACAGGATACCCACTGGCGACCAAAACCATATCTGATCCTTGCCTTCATGGTGCTTCCAGTTTCTAGTGGCTACCTGCATTTGTGGGCTCATGGCTCCCTTCCATCTTTAGAGTTAGCAGTGGAGTTTCAATATTTCTCACATCACATCACTATGAGTCTGACTCTCCTGCTTTCCTCTTTGACTTATAAGGACCCTTTTGATTACATTACGCTCCTCTAGATAATCCAAGATAATGTTTCCATCTGAGGGTTAGCTGATTAGCAACCTTAATTCCATTGGAAACCTTAATTCCCCCTTGCCATGTAACATAAATATATGCACATGTTCTAGGAATTGGGATGTGGATATCATGAGGGTGCAAGGAACATCATTCTGCCTACTACAGATGGGAAAATCAACAGGCATGTTTAGATGTACTCAATTTGAGATGCCAGTGCATCAACCAAGTAGGAAGTTAGTGATGCAAGCAGCTCAATATGTGAGTTTGAAGCTCAAGGAGAGATTAGTGCTAAATATGGAAGTTGTCAACCTGTAGGTGATGTATAAAGCCGTGAGTGTGTATGACATCACTGAAGGAGGGACTGAGCCCAACAAACTTCTACATTTAGAGTTAAAGTAGAGGAGACAGGCCAACAAAGAACACAGAGAAAAAGAACAGACAAAAAAGTAGGATGAAAACCAAAATAGTGTGGTGTCAAGTAAGCCCTGAGAGGAGATTCTTCAAAAAAGGCAAGAGTGATCACCTGTGCTCAATATTGCTGCAAAAGACATTTGCAGATTTGTCCAGCAAGATTTGGATTTGGTAGCAAGAAACTGAAAACCTTTATACAAGCGGTTTCAATGAAATTATGGGGGCACAACCAAAACTGATGCAGTTTGAGGAGTGAATGGGATGTTATCACTGACCACAGGTGATGAGGAGAAGTCCTGTGTGTCCTCACAACCTTTGTAGATGCTTGTTAAAAACAGTGATCACATTTGTTCAGAGACTTTACTACCGTAAGAAGCTAGGAGCTAAGCGAGATCACATTTGTGTACTTCTATCTAGTCAGGATTGTGTGATAGCTACATTGATGGTTTATACGAAAGGGGTACAGATATTGCTGGGTTCCCATTGCTGTGCTCTGTGTGTAGAGCAAATCCAGAGGGTAACTGGAGCAATGAAACATCTCCATCTTCCTGCTGCATCCCAGGAAACCCTTTAGGACCAAACAGCAGAAACTGCTTGGAAGGAGAAAAATCAGAGTATTCTGTGGCAGGACTCAAGAATCCCCTTGTCTTGAGGAATCTCAAGCTTTGCTGGCTTGTTGCCTTTCTAGGGAATCTTAGAGGGGACAATGCTACATCCTCCCAGACTGCGGTTTACCAAAGGGCCTGCTCCTGCAGGAACAAGGTACTCTTATTAGCTGATGATTCCTCCCTGCTCATCCACAAGAGACTATACTTTTTCAGAAGAAAGTGGCTGTGAGATTCTTGTGTGAGGTCATTCTCCCACTCCCTTTACTGGTTCTCAGAGTTTTACAAAAGTAAATGAGAACTCTCAGCGCAAAAAGACTCAAAGGGTAGAACTTATTGTTAACTTGTCAAATTAGATAGAATAAGTAAATTCCTATGAACTGTTAACCAAACTTCCAGAAACGGAGACCTGATTGAAATAAAGAGGCATTTACTGGGGGTTTGTTAGGACTGCCACCCGGGAGACACAGATTCAAGAAGCACTTGAATTGTGTTCCACTGGACTACAAAATGGACAAAGCTTATAAAGTCAAGAACTGCAGAGCCACAGTTAGTTACATGAGTTGTTTACCAAGAATTATAATTGGAACTGGCAAGAAGTAAGGGTGCTTGTTAAGCAAGAATTGGTTGGGGTCCAAAATGGTTGCATAGTTACAAAGGGGAACAACCTTGAGACCAGCTAGCAAATGTGGTTTTTAAAATGGCTGCTGTCCTTAGGTTTGGTATAGTTCACAGAAAGTTCAAGTTCTCAGTGGTGCAGGGAAATATCTGAGACCAGATCCTCAATGGCTGCCCAACTCTATTTTGTATGCCTGGACTATGATTATTCCATTATGATATCAGTTTGTCATTAGACTTAATAGATTGGCAGGTAGAGAGGCTTAAGATCTCAGAATGAACTCCAAAATGATGTTGGCTCCAAGTTTTGGCTCCGGAAAATTTAAGAATCATAACAAAGTAACCAAGGCATTTATTTCATTAAAGTCTTAATCTCACATCATACACAGATTTAATTTCAGATGTATCATAGACCTAAACAAAACTATAAAACTATACAATTTATAAAAGGTAGCAAAAAGTATGGATTCACAACTTTAGGATAGGCAAAATTTCTTAGAAAGGACACATAATACAATACACAAAAACTGACAATTCACACTTGATCTAAATTGAAAACTTGTTCATTAAAAGAAAATTGGGATATATGTATATGTATAACTGATTCACTTTGTGTACACCTGAAACTAACACAACATTGTAAATCAACTATACTTCAATAAAAATTTTCAAAAAATAAAAATAAAATAAAACTGCTTTAAAAAAAGAAAGAAAAATTGGTTGATAAAAGGGTACAAACTTTCAGCTATAAGACATATAAGGTTTGAAGATCTGATACACAACATGGTGACTAGTTGATGACACTACTGTATAACTGAAATTTGCTAAGAGACTAGAACTTAAATGCTCTCACAGAAAAAAAAAAAAAAGGTAAGTATGTGAGGTGATAGATGTGTAAATTAACTAGATGGTGGGAATGCTTTCACAATTAAACAAAAAAAAGAAAGAAAGAAAGAAAGAAAATAATAGACAAGCCACAGACTGGGAGGTAACATTTTCAAAACATACATCTGACAGAGGATTTGTATCTAAAATATACAAAGAACTACACTTCAATAATGACAAACAAAACAAAAGAACATGTTAAGTGGACAGAATTCTTAATCTGTAATAATTGCTTCACTCATTCAAATAGTTTCAATGTAGTGAAGTTAATAGCTTTTATTATTTAAAATAATAATAATAAAGGAAGTAAGCAAAGTTGATTTAAATAAAGGGAGTGGGTAATATGCCTTAAATACTAAAAGCCTGGCGGCACAACACCCGGTGACAGAGACTTTGAGTTTCAGGGGAATTTTTCTGTAAAGTAAATAAAGATAAAATTTGAAGATTGAATCTACAGAAAGAGACTTGTTAGACTTGTTAAAAGAAGTTTTAATGGCAGCCAAACTAAAGTTTACCATAGTAAACTATGAACCAAAAGAGCAAAATCTGTTCAGTTATGAAGATACTGGCCCACACTCCCACAGCTGGGAAGCGGTGGAGCCCTGGCAGTCGGGCTCTAGAGGCTGTGCTCTAACCTCTGTGAGACACTGCCTCCACTGTGGCTCTGCTTCTATCACATGGATGGTACATAACTTGGGTCAGTGTTTCTCAAAGTCCTTGGTCAATAGGTTATCAGGTTGGAATGTTCCTAGATTAATATATCACCTAAAAGGAAGTTCTGTGGCTAGATTTGAGAAATGCTGAGTTTAACAAAATAAAATGTGTTACTTCGCTTTTCAGAGCCAAACACGCACTGAGATCCTCTAAGGTTGGTAGCTGAAGAGGGAATTAGCTTTTCTCAGATTTATTTGTTTGAGATATGTATAGATTAAGGCTGGGACTGATAGCGTATATATAATATATACATTACGTTTGTGCGTGCATACGTGTGTACATATACCTTATAACATCCAGTACTGACTCAGACAAATGTGAGTTTATTTGTTCTACAAAACAAGAAGTCCGGGGCAGGGCAGTCCCTGGCCAGCCTCATTTCTCTTTCCATTT